CATTGTGGGAAAATTCTACTACCAGTCCTTCATCACCTTACACGAAATAGGGTGAATACATCTCAGTATTATTTTTGTTGGAGTTTGAAGAGGCGAGTAGAAGCGAGGGATTCGTAAGTCTTCAGTGCACCGTCCTGCGATCCCAATGATGGATGAAAGTTCAGCAGGCATTGATTGCACAAATCTACAGCCACAGAGCCAAGACAACCCTCAACAGCCTCTGGTGGAACCAACCTACGAAGCCCTTCCACTCGCCTCTTCAAACGAAATGAAAGGTACTCCGACATAAATCTATCAAGTGACTCTTTGAAACACAGTTTTTCTACATACCGTAGTATTATTTTGTTTTTTTCAATCTTGAGGATGAAGAAGAACAGCATTTTGGGAATTGCTTAGATCATTGTGTAACCTGAAGATGATTATTGGGACATTACGGTTCTGCAGATGAGGCGAAAAATCGCTAAAAGTAGTCAAAGTATGACTATAATGACAGGAGAGTAAATCGTCTTTACTGCTATCATTAGCAGCAATGATAGCTCTCTTTCAACCCATTCTTTTCGAATGTCCTCTTTAAATGACCAAATTTTATGTAGTGAATATGGAGAAACCTGTACATGGCAATTATTAAGCTGTCAATGCAGGCGAATATGAGTACTGGATGGTACGGCAAGCTCAGGCTTGTTTTCAAGGGAAAAAATTGGAATTAATTTAAATATGGAAGCTGATTACTTTTTTTATTATGGACACCTCTACTTTGTATGAGTGTCAGATTAAGGTGAAATGGCTATGTGAAATCCAATGGAAGTGTGAGGCATATTCATATGCTTGTGGGAATATTCAATTACTAGTCCTTCTTCCCCTTGAACGAAATAGGGTGAACATGGTTTTTTCTTGACATGGCGTCAATTTGAGACTATTGTGTGACGGGCAGGGAAGAGATCGTGTGGATTGCGTTAATCTGAAACGACAACAGAACAGCCAGAATAGACAATCGTCTTTCAGTAAAATCATCAACTGCATCGCTTCAAAATGCATTTTCACACGAACCGAAGACCTCCACAATGTTATTGGAGACGTATTCACCCTAATTAGTTTAAGGTGATGAAGGACTGTTAGTTGAATTTTCCCACAAGGATATCAGTAGGCCACACGGTTTCATTGAAGTTCACATAGGCTTGCTTCAAAAAGGTGTTAGGTAGTTTTGCTCTCGCCTGAACTGGTCTCATCAGTCTGCCCAACGGGACCCGAACCAAGGCTGTAGTGGTTCAACGTACAGTCTCGACATGTTAACACCCTCCCTCCCCCCACACACACACACACAAACACACACATTACCACATGCAGACTTTCGCGAGTGTCCTTGTGTCAAAAGAGGTCTCTAAAACCTGCTTATACAGCGAAAATATCTCCGCAACAAGACTTTAATTTATCGAAAGCCAGCCTTTCTTCTTATTCTTTATTGACAGGTCCTGGGCCGCAGTTCCTCCGGTGGACAGCATCCTGTCCCATCATCACACAAGTCATTAACATGCACAAATAGTATTGAGCTCCCTTTTGGTACCTAAAGTGTATGATAGCCAAGACACCAGGACGCCTTAAAGATTGGCAGTTTTGCCATCCCAGGCCTCCAGAACTAGTGCCTACAGCCTTGGAAACCGGAACACTGTTGACTTACCAAGAGACATTCACGCACACCTGCTTGTCACTCAGGCGATGCTAATGCTACTCTACCTTTTGACAACACCAGTCGGGTATGGCTGCTCCAGAAGGCGTGGAACTTAGCATTCTGCGCCTTCTGCTTTTTGCTACCATTTTACCGAAAGGGCTGTTCTCCGACTGCCCATCTCCAAAACGGGCATTCCGGGTCTGTTCGTTAGAAAAGTAGAGGCATTCAACTGCTTAATTCGCAATTGCCATGCTTTGGGGCCCATCTCGTCTGCATACGGAAATGTGGCTTGATGAGGGACGAATAGGTACAGATGTCCCATCAGTTGTCAACACCAATTGGTCGCGTTTGGGCAACTCATTCGCATCAGGAGCGGGCGCATTTTTGTACTTCAGATGCCACTTCCTCCACCACAGATCGAATAGGCCTACGTTACTACACACACAAGGTTATTCTATCTTTTTGCTGGATCTGTAGGGTGTGAGCAACAAAATTTTTCCAGAGTTTGCAGAAATAAATTCATTTACACACACGCACACACACAAACGTGTGGTTTTTTTATTTGGCTCAAACTTGTCTTTTGATAACGGTCAAAAAGCAACTTGCTTTTCCATTCTTGCAACCCATTTCAGAACAACATAGACCCATTCAAGCATTCATAACTATGTTTTCAAGACTACCATTAGCTCTTATATAAGAACTGTATTCACCCTGTTTCGTTTTAGGTGATGAAGAACTGGTAATTGAATTTTCCCGCAAACATATGAGTAGGCTTCACATTTACATTGTATTTCATAAAATTCCTGACTGCAGTTCCGACCTCTCCCAGCTCTCAGCCTCCCTCCCAGCGGGACTCGAACTAGAGTTGTAGTAGTGCAGTGTAGAATTTCGACTTACCTTCCATTTCCCCACACACTGCCACGAGTGTTCTTAGGTCACACGGCAGATGTGCATTTCAAGAAAGGCCGGACATTGTCCCACATCGCATTGTATAGGGGGATTGTAGTTAAGGCAAATTTGTATTCACCATAACAATCGACTACATACTTATTCTCATGTGGAAGTAAGGCTATATTAAATTCAATGGAGACGCAAAGCCTACTCACATCATTGTGCAAAATTTCAACTTCTAGTCTTTAATCACCCTAAACAAAATATGCAAAATACATCTCTTATATATGATCGAATGGTAGTCTCGAGAACCTACTTATAAAGGAAAAATAAGTAGTTCACTCGATTTCCATGGCAAATACAACTTTGCTTCATCGCCAATCCCCTCACAGGATGTGATATGGGAAAATGCCTGGCCTTAACTACAGTATGCATTCGCCCTGTAACCCAAGAACACTCGTGGCAGGCTGGCGCAGTGGTCAATTTGTCGAGATTGTTCTACCGAAACCCGGGTTTGAGTTCTTCTATGGGTGGACAAGAATACCCTTTGGAAAACAATGCCATATTAAATTTAATGAAAATGTAAGGCTTGCTCATATAATTGTGGAAAAATTCAACTACCACTCTTTCATCACCTAAAACTAAATAGGGTGAATACATCTCAAATGTGGGAAGTAATTTCATTTGTGAGTTTTGTGAGTCTGACCCAAATAAAGATTTGACGAAAGTTTCTTTCTCGACACTTTGCCGCAAAGGTCCGTTCTCGTCAAGATTCGACGACTGTTACGACCTCGCCAAGGCCTAATTAACGCTTCGAGCGGGACTCGAACCATGCAGACTTACGCTTGAAGGTGGCCATGCCAACCATGTGGTGTATAAAGATGACGATCTTCTTTAATTCGTCAATGAAATGATCTCAGCCTATTCATGGGTTAAGCACAATTGTTGATAAGACCGACAGAATCGACCCTTGCCATAATCCTGCTCTGGGGACTTAAGTCTAATTAGCAGAACCGGATTGTTGCAAAAGACGAAATGAAGGAATCCTAGTCGAGAGATGAAAAGGGAGAAAGCAAAGCGGAAGGATTTGGGGTTAAAGAGTTGCATGTTGCAGCATGGCATAGAGCCAAGGCCGATTGTTGATTCCAGTCGAGGACACCGACGACTAGCGACTTGGGTGGGGGAACAAACTCGACCATACCCGAGGCCACAACATCTTGGTCTTCACATCTTCAAACCATCTTTGCTTGTGCGGGTAGGACACATGTCATTTGGACATGAAGAGGACCCGAATAATCAATTTGGGCCAATCCGAGCAGGGCTACAACCCTTCTTCCACCCCCAACTGACTTTAAGCCAGGCCGAAATTCCGGAGGATAGCTGGGGTAGAGTTGTGTGTTTTCTGAGTGCCTGTGTGCACAGTTATGTATGAATCCCATTATGGAAGTGTGAATGTATGTATGTATGTATGTATGTATGAATAAATGAATTTATGCCTTAATCATGCATTACTAAATGCCTCATGTAGTGAATCGACAAACTTGTGATGATATGCATGAATGAATGGTTGTATGCATGTCTGTATGAATGAGTGAATGCCCATAGGAAGGATTCTTTGTTTGTCCACAAACGAACCTATGTATGCATGAAGTAACCCATTCAAACACACATTCATTCAAGCTCGTATAAGAGCCTACTTTCCGGCGCACACCCATCAACGCATATTCACATACATCAATCCACACGCATGATATATGTACACGTCTGTGGATGTGGGTTTGCGTGCAACTGAATTATGCATTGCATGAATGAATGCATGTATGCGTGAATGCATACCTGCTGGCAGGGATTGATAAGAATGCGCGAAAGCTGGTGTGTGGGGATGTTGGGCTCATTTTCCTCGGTACCAGTAGGAGGATCGGTTTGACTCCAACCTCTTGACAGAATTGCAAGTAGCCAGAGGGAAATTAGACGTTCCATTGCCTGCAAAGGTTGTCGGCTGTCCAGGCTTAGGGCATTATGCAATCGGTACCGGAGTGATAAAGCCTCAGCTGGGCGAAAGTGGGGCCAAACGACGAGGCAGTTGGTACAGTTGCAATGACATGTGGCTGTAGCCCAGCCGCTCAAACGGACGGTTGTCGTCAGCACAACAAACCTGACGCAACCAACTACAACCCGACCACTTGGGGGTGTGTCAATTCCTACACTGGGATCGCGAGGAGGCAATAATTGCTGCCCTCCCTGTGTGAATGGTACCGGCCTTCTGTTGATGGCGTCGACATGGCAACCGACACCACCGGCAGATCCTATTATCTTCTGCCGTCGAAGCACTATTGGAATCCCCTGCAAAAGCGTCGTGAAGCCCGACCTCACCACTGTTCGCCGAAAGAACTTCGGCCAAAAGTGTGCATACTACTTAAATGTGCAAGTATATCCCTTGACTGAAGCTTGTTGAATTTAGGAAGTCTTGTAAGCAGTAAAGATAACAAAGTGGGCCCTCCTTTTCAGAAATACGAATAAAAAGTCTGCCTAATGTCAATATCTATTGCATTTTTTTTAGTTTGTCAAAGGTGATAAGGGATATATATATATACCTGTATGCGTGGGCGCATGTATAGTGAATTTTTGTGAAGTACGGCTTCTGCTCCTCCTGATGTCTTCACATGACAGACAAAATTTCAGCATGAATTAATCCTTATTGTATAACGGAAAGCCGAAGTATTCTTCGCACAATACAATAGCAACACGTAAAAGGCCATCTGCTCTCAGCTTTCCGTCAGGTCACTTCACGAATAATCCCATGTGGCCGCCTCTTCAAACGAAATGAAAGGTATGGCAGCATCAAGCCATTATGGAATTATTAAAAACCCAGCTTGTCTTCATATCTTGAAAGCAATCTGTCTTGTTATAATAAAAATAGGCCTGATGACGTCATTACTTGCCATTTTTCTAGTTCATATAAGGGATAATAATGAGGGATAATGAGGGATATAGAT